AAAACTAAGGTTTAATTAACAAAATAAAGTAGTGCCTCCCATAAGGAACCCAGTGCAGAGCATTGGTCTGTACCCAGTGTGTCTTTATACTCACTAAGTCATATGTTATTTATTAAAATCACCCCAGTGTCAATGAGGAGCTTCATTTAGGGAAATTTTATTCTAACGTCTGTAAGATGTTCGACTGCTGGAAAGGAGACTTTGGTCTCAGCAGGGATGCTCCAGTAAAATCATCCTAAACAAACAGGGAAAAATAGCTCTCTTTCAACTGATACTCACTTTATTTGCATTTGAAAAGAGAATAAATTACTACACGTAAAACTCAAGTACCTAATATATTTTTCTCGTTTGTTTTACAATAGTTTTCAAATGTTAAAAAATTAAAAGGCATCCAAACATGAGTTAGACAGGAAGGGAAGGGGAAAAGCCTGGGTTGAAAAAAATAAATAAATAAAATGACCACCTCTTCTGGTACTTGATAATTTACTAAAACAACAGCTTGTTTTTAAAATGTAAAAAATGACAATTTGGTAGTAACGGACTCTGAACACACTAAAAATATAAATTTGACTCAGATTAAAAAATAAATAAATCAGCCTTAGACATAGTATTTGCTTTTATTCCTTTTATGGACAAAGCCTCCGAAGCACGAACAAAATGATGAGTTTATTTAAAATAGGGCCTCAGTCCAATAAACCATTGACTTGCATTAGAAAGGCCAAACTACCGGCTCAGAGAATCAAATAGCCGGGTAAGGAAAACCCCCTAATACAATACAGCCATGAAGTTCTGACTTCTTCTGTGAGGCTTTAGTCATATGTGCTACTATGAGCAATGAAAGACTGAAGGAGAGTGGAAAAAAGGAATAAACTGTGAAATTTACAGGAGGTGCTGACTTCATATGCAATTAGATACAGATATGGCTATTACTGAGAAAGTAAGACTCACATCCTAAATTCCCATGAACCATTTCAAGCCCATAGTAGCATCAATCATTGAATGTAATCCAGGTTTCAGAAAGAAAGGGTAGTAGTGGTTTTGGTTGGCGATAGATGGTGAATCAGGAAATGTGGGCGCAGATCCCAGCTCTGATAGAAACTTCCTTTTGTGAACCGGGACAAATTACTGAACTGGCATCTGTAAAATGAGAATAATGATGCTATTTTCTTTCTCGCACCCTTTGTCTTTTATATCTACCCTGTAAGCTCTTGGGGCAAGGTCTGAGACTTGGTATGTGTTTTTACAGCATCTAACACAACGAAGACCTGATCTTGGCTGGAACCTCTAATGACTACTTCTAATATAAACAATAAATAATTAGAGCTGGTCGAGTTTTTTTCAACGGAACATGCCAATTTATCGAAACAAACTTTTTGCAGAAATTTATCATCTTCGTTGGGAAGGTTTTTCAGGTCCAGGAAGCAATTTCTAGCAAAAGCACAGAGAAACCTGTCCCAAAATAGCCAATAGCCTGGTGGTTAGGGCTGGGCTATGGAAGATCCAGGTTTTAAGTCCCCGCTCAGCCTGAATTGGAGCAGGGACTTGAACCTGGAGCAGGGACTGGAACCTGGTTCCCCTACATTGCTGGTAAATGCCCCAACGACTAGGCTATGGAGTCAGCCTCTCTCTAGCCCAGTGAACATTTAATTAGTTCTCTCTCATGTTTTTTCATGAACAATTTTGAAAGCTCTTATTTTTGTTCTGATGTGGAATGAAAACAAATTTCAAAACCTCAAATTCTTTTTGCGGAATGGAATTCTTGCTTTCCAGCCAGCACTATAAATAATAGCGATGTTTTACCTTCACATTTTAGCGTAGGTTGTGTTGGTGGTACAAAACTGGTACAGAGAAGCAAGGAAAGGAAACACAGAAAAGAAAGGACTAAAAAAGAAAGATGTGGAATGGAAATAAGATTTACATGAGTACAGCAACAACATTTCACCTTGTAAGTAAGGGTCATATGTGCAGCCTGATGCCCACTGGGTTTTATGAAATACCATGTTATTGGGTGGGGGGGATATTTGCACTTTGCAAAACTCCAAAAGAAATCCTACTCTTCCAAGTTGCGAATGCACTTCCTACTGGAAAACACACCCCACAGAGATCTTGTGCCTTTGGAGGCATGCCAAACGTGCAGTGCATGCAAAACCAACCTCCCAACATCATGCAAGGTCCACACAGCTGCTAGGATGCTGAAATGCCCTTGATCATTAATCCTACCCCACCCACCCCAAAAATCAACAACTCGGACGTCTGCCACTAACACCTGATATAGATAGCTCAGGGTCTTAAAAAAATGTGTCAGATCGATGTATACACACATGTGGTGAAGGGGTATTGGTTAGTGTGGCAGACCTTTGAAAAACCCAGGCAGTCAGCATTTAACTGACATACAACCTCAAGCAGCCAAACTAAGTTTGTTATTCTAGGGGATGGAATTGAGACTTCAGAATAAAAATTACTATGTAACTATTCATGGAAAGGTAAAATTAGATAGGTAATTAATATCACTTATGAAAGTCAAAATTAGAAAAGTAATTAATACTTTGCTCAAGGTTAGTTAGGAGATTGTTTTGTTTACAGTTCTGTAGTCTATCACGCTACAGTCAAGTACTTGTTAGTTTTGTCATAAATACATTTCACTCCAAACAAGAGTGCAGTTGAAAAGATGATGCCTACATTCTAGTAAATCTTTAGTGAAGCTTGGTTTGTTAAAGATGAGACAACGTATGCAGAATTGCAGTTAGTGAAGTCATAGTAGCAGTGAGATCTATGGTGTAGGCTCTCCGCATGGTTTTCTTTGCCAATATGTGCATTAAAATCTTAGGCTTGAATTACATTATACATTATAGGATTACTGAATCTTGGGACACAGTTATAAAACTCATCTATACTGTCTTCATAAGCATCATCATTCGGTGAATAGTCAACAACAATATAAAGTACTCAATTTCATTTAAACTGGGTTACTTATCTTGAGGCTGATCTTAATCAACCCCTCATATCATTCTTGCACAGAAATGTGTTGTGAGAAGACCAGCTACAGTATGCACTTTTCCTTTATCATTGCTAAAATCTTTGCCACCCTGTGACTAGCAATACAAGACAGGGTTCAAGTCAACTAGTAGATAGTCTTGAACTACCAAACATAGAGAACTATGTTCTTGTTTTAGTTAGAGAAGCGTCATGACCTGCTTGTATATACAATATATGTTATACCACTTTTGGGATAATACGAGGAATTTTTTTATGTAAGCAGAATTACCTGAAGGAGAGAGGGTGATATTTCTATTCATTTGCAATGTGGAAGAAGAATCAAATAAGTGAGTTAAAAATATCAGCTAAGTTCATCAACTTCTCAACACACCTGCTGTTCTCCATTTCAGTTCAAACACTTCCAGGGCAGAAAGTTAAATCATTATTAGAGAAGAGAAAACAGAATGATGAAGACATTAGGCTGCTTGTTTCTACTACATCCTTACCAATTTACCGTCAGTCAGTGACTATGGATTTTTAAAAAGCAGTTAACACTTAAGAAATGTTAAGAACAATTATCTCATGTCCAATTGGAACATTAGCCCTTTAGACAGAAGGGCTCATTCCTTTCAGTCTGCCAACATTTTAGTAAATGACACTGGCCCTTTAACAGATGGGATACATACTTCTTTGCTTGCCAGTATCCTAATAAAAGACACTGGCTTCTTTAAAATGAAGGACAAATACCTCTCAAATTGCCAGCATCCAAATTGGGAATCAGCAGTTTAAAATAAAGGCGGCACTCCACTGCCTGGGAAAACCAGGGACATGCTACAGAAATTTTAAAGCAAATGGTATAAATCCTACCCTGATATTATTTAATTTAGATAAACTACCTATTAAAACATTGGGTAACTATATCCAATATCAGTACTGCAGTAACTGGATAGCCTTAGCAGACTCATTAACCTCTTACATGCACCATCTACTGGAGGGGAACAAAGACCCACCATGTGGGACTATGGTTGTACCCAGAAGGCTAGTCTTTACTGGGGAGGAGGAGGAGAAGAATTTGCTCACCTTCAGGGCAGCACTGCAAGGATTACCTATTTTTCCAGGCTTTTCAGGAGGGTGGGAGGCAGGAGAAGTAAAAGCTATTAGTTCTATTGGGCTGGAAAGGCAGCGAGGTTGTTGAGATTATGGATGGGACAGGCATATTTTATGAGAGAGGAAAAAAACCAACAGAAGTAAAATAAAACCCCCTTGGTTTACAATGGTTCTTCAGTCTCTCAGGACATTCCCTAACCTTTGGGTACTACTTTATTCCCATTGTCCTTAGGCATATTCAGCATTTGTGTACTTTATATTATTACAACATGAATCTAAGAGGTTAATTTCTTCTATAACCTTGAGTGAACAAAACACAAAAAAGGAGGAAACAACATAAAGATTAATATACCAAAGCTGCACTTAAAGCAGAAAACCTGTGGATTGGCACCATAGTCAGCAGAGGCCTGGAGTGCTGGAAACCACTATGAGGGTTGCAGGAAGAAAGGGAGCCTGGAGACCCATAAGAAGCTGCTCCTACTGCCTTATGGAGGAGAGGGGAAGCCCAGTGCACAGAGCTCCAGAAGTAGCAGCTCACGTAGCATTGGGAGGGAGGGAGGGGAGGAGAAATGAGGCGAGGCCTCAGGAGAAGGTCCTCTTACTGGCATTGGGTAGTGTGGGCCCTGAAGAGGAGCTGCTGCACCAGGCTGTGCAGAGAATGCATTAAGCACTATCATAGAAGTAAAGGAAGCAGAGTAGATGTTGTTATGCAGTAGCCCAGCATGGCAGCAGCCTCATGAAGGGAAAGCCAGAAGACTGGCCTAACAATGTTGCAGTGCAGAGACCGATAGGCGGAGGGCTGGGATGGCATATCACCGGTCCAGGCCTGGAACAACTGTCCTGGCTTTCCTTCCTACATAGGAGGTCCTTGCCTTCTGTTCTTCTAATCAACATAGATGTTTACATGATTTACTCACCTTTCACGCTCATCTTTCATCTTTTCTAGTTCTTCTTCTCTCAGTGTGCCGTGTTTTGGATTTCCCTTCTGGTCAGCTTTCCCACCTTTCTCCTCTTTCCTCTTTCCAAATCTGATTAAGACATTAGGGAAGAGTCAGGGGAAGAGGAGAGAATTAGTAGAGGAAAAATGCAATATTTACTGAGTACACAACAAAGCTGGAGATTTACACAATCACAACGTAATGAGCGATTGCCTAGAGTAAGTGACCTATTGCAATAATAAAATAAATTACCAATAATTCTGACTAAGAACCATTTACACAGTATTTGATCACAATTGTATTTGAACCTTGAGTGCATTGTAGAAATTACCACCTCGCAAGACCTGAAACAAAAGCAGCTGCGATGCTAAGCTATTATTAGCATACATTTCGAAGTAGCTGAAGGTTCTTCTTACCAGAGAATAGGCTCTCTGAAAACAATCTTCAGAACAATCTTATGTGCCAACATACAGAGTTGGCCATATGTTCTACTCCTATTGGTAAAAATTGTCACTTGTTTGCATATGGCTTTAATTTAAAGGTATAGAGTTGATTTTTGTTTAAAATCACAGGAAGGTGCAATCAGGATGAAAAATAAATCTTGCCCTATTGCAAGATGAGAGAGAGAGCTACTTCATAAAAGTTCCCTCTTAAATGCTTTACTTTCTATCTAATAATATATTATTATTTAATATTTATATTATGAGAATGCTCCAGAGATCCCAGTCACTCCTGGGGTTCCATTGTATTAGGCACTGTACAAAGACATGCAAAATTATATTCCTTTCTTCACAGCACTTGCAAGAGGTTATTAAGTGGCAGAGCTAGATTTCATTTCTCATTGAGTTAGATCTTGAGGTTGGATACACAAAGCATTATGGGCTAACCCCTCCCCCCACCCCCCAAATTTGAAATCCTGAAATTTATAGGTCACATATGATCAGTCATTTTTATCATATTGCAACCTTTCAAGTGCCTTTACATGCAAATTAAGGCTAACGATTCAGAAAAATTATTTCTTCACGGAGCTTGCTGTATTTTAACTTCATTAATATGCCTCACAACTTTTTGAATAGTTCTATGGAAGTCAGTAACATTTCCTTGGAGCTCTTTCCTTTATTCTTTTTTATTTTTCATTTCAGTCCAAACTGCCTTCAGTACGATAGCTGAAGTACACTACACAGACTTCAGTTGTAAATCACATAAGTCCTTTGATCAAAGCGGAATTACTGTGTTTGTCAGTCGGACGACGTCCACACTTGGAGCTAGAGGTGTGAGGCCCAGCTCAAGCAGACATGCTCACACTAGCTCTCATCGAGCTAGTGGACTAAAAACAGTAGCGTAGCCCTGGTGTCAGAGGCAGTGGGGAGCGGCGGCACAGACTAGCTACCCACAAGGTCCAGGGGGTTTGTACTTGGAGTGACTAGGATGTGCTGCTGCAGCTACATTGCTATTTTTGCCGCGCTCACTTGATGAGAGTTAGTGTGAGTATGTCCGTGTGAGCTGTGAATCACACCCCTGGCTCCAAGTGTAAACGTACCTTCTGACTCCCAAAGTAATGATCCAGATTGCTCGTGAATTTAATCAATGGGCCTGAGCCTACAGAAAAATGAAGTCACTAGAAACTAAAGGACAAATCTTGCAGATAAAGACGGCATTTCCGTTATGACAGCAGCCATATTTACACAGGCTCGGGAAGTACGGGTGTGGGGGGTGATGCAGCACCCCCAGGTTTTATGTGGGACTGCTGGCCCTGTGCCCGGGACTCAACTCCCCAGGTTCAGGTCTTGGGGGCCGGCCCTGTGCCCCACTCCCCATCTGTTGGCTCCATGGCCAGGACTCTGCTCCCTGGCCTTATGCCCGGGTTTCCACACCCAGCCGAGCCCCGCCCTCCCCCCGCTCCCAGGCCTCCATGCCTGGCCCCTTGCTCCCAGGGCTCCACTCCTGGCCCCACGGCTGGGGCTCTGCTCCTGGCCCCTCACGTGGGGTTCTGGCTGCCGGACCCTGCCTGGGGTTCCGCTCCTGGCCCTAAGCCTGCTCCCAGCTATGGCCACAGCCTCAGCCCCCTTACCCCTCTCCAGGTCCCCCCTCACAGCGACACAGCCCTGCTCCCAGCCTCAGCTCGGGGGAGGGGCATGGACAGGGGTCAGGGGGCTGGCTTTCAGCACCCCCCACTACTAAAAATGCTCCAGCACCACTGCATGTTGGTGGGTGAATGAATGAGAGAAAAAGACACGGTGAGGGTGGAGGGGGAGGAGGGAAGAAGCAGAGGTGCCAGGCAAGAGGACTGGATCCTCCCTTGCACAGGGTACAGAAGAGCTCCAGGGTGGCTCTTTGCAATGGAATGAGGAGGGAGACTGGACATAGTGGTGGTATGGTGGGTGTGTCTGTACAAACCTCATCTTACTCTTCCCCACATCTCTGCAGTAGCAGCCACAGCCCCAAGTCCTATTTAAAACAGTAATAGCCTGCTACTCCAGAAAATACATACCACTTTTTCAAACATACCAGCCATACTTGGTTCTCCTTCTGGAGTCCTATCTCACTACGGGGCAGCGGAATCGTTACATTTCATAACTGCGCTCTTCAGGAGTGGAAAGTCTACACTCTGGCTCCATTATCAACTGTGGTCTCCAGAGACTGTGGAGCCGCACACATGTGATGGGGAGTTTTCCACAATCTGAGGGGAGAACGTAGCAGCTAGGAAGAGACGGTTAAGGGTAGGCATGTGGGTGTGTATATGTACAGGTGAGAGAGTGACAGAGAGCATGCGTGTGAGAAAGAGAAAGAGGGATGGACACAGAGACTGGTGAAAAGAAGAGCTAGATGGGACCTTGCAGATGTTTTTTCATATAGTAATGCAAGGAAAAACCAAACTAAACCCACGCACACACCTTAGTCCAACACCTGCAGGATGGATGGGAAAATAATCTGTTTTCCAGCACCTGCATATTCACTGAAGATCTCGCTTGGCAGTATCCTCAAGAGAGAATGTATTAGCTCTTGAGTCCTGGCCCTGATCTGACTCTGGCAGTTTGTTTATATTCTTCCTGCCTACAGTTCCCCCATAGTATCAATTACGGCTTTGTGGAGTCTAGTATTTGTCTTGAGTATTTATAGATGTTGAAAACATTATTCTTGGGCATTTTGTATTGCTGTAGGGAGGTAAAGTTTGATATGTAGCATACAAAAAATGTTTTTTAAAAAAAATTGAACCCCTTTGAGTTTCAAGTCTGGGTATTTGTTGCTTACAAAAGGAAGTATTTTTTAAATAAAATGACAATTTTGTTTGTAATAAGTGCCAGTTTTAAATCTCTGCACAAACACTCCTGTTTGCTAGTATAGCGGCTGTTGCCACAAATTGGTAAGGTCAAATATAATTATAAACTAGCAATGGTGGATTGGTCTTGATGAAAACAAGTTTTTCTGCTATTTTTGACTTCACCCTAGAGCTGTGTGGGCTTACAATATTTACCTTCACACTAAATACACAGTATGTTGCCTAAGGCTGGGAAAATGTTCTGATTTTGGCCTCTTCCGTTCATTACTAAACTCTTAAAAATCTATTCCTTATTACTGTTTATTATTATCATGATGTTTTGCAGAACAGCAAAAATCCAGCATGGACATTAAGGGATAGAGAGAGAGAGAGAGAGTGTGTGTGTGTGTAAAATATATATTTGCAAAAATCCAACACCAATTAAAAAAAACATATGTACTACATAAAACCACAAAATATCCAGCATCTTCTCTGACTGCATGAATACACCATGCCCTGAAATTTATGGTATTTGCAAAGGTCTGCGTTCTCTGATGTGTTCTAAATTACCACAGACATATGCTGATGAAATTAACTTCTACTTATTGTAATTTTGCATAATTTTGTGCATTCCAGGCTTAATATTTCTCTAACGTTTAGGGGACAAAATTCTTTCCTTGCTAACCTCACATTGGGCCTGATTCTAAGCTCCCACTGAGCTTAATGTATGGGAACAAGGCTGTTGGAACAACTGAGTTATGGTATTAATCAAGTTAAGATGAAAATTTTGTGAAAAGTGAATGGCTTTTGGCCTCAAGGCTTACAAAATCTGCAGACAACAAATAACTGGATTACAGTAAAACCTGCCTTTTATATTAAAATGATTGATATAAGACTAAAACCATTAGTGAATAAATTTATTGCACACCAATCTTTAAAACCTCTTTCTACTACACTGTATGTAGGGAAATTCTCTTAAGGTACTATCTGACACAATTGTTATTTATTCAAAAACTTACATAGCAAAGGGAGGAATATAATTAGAAGACCTGAAAAATGAACAGAGTGTGTGCATCTGCTTAGATTGTTTTGTGTGGAATGAAACCACTTAAAATAATAATAGAGGGGAAAAAAACATGTAGCAAAGTTATGCGTTTATGTGTCCTATGCAATATAGTGATTACCTGGTGTAATGCCTGTGAAGGAAGTTGTAGCCATAGAATCATTAGTATGCTTTTCACTATACAAGGACAATATTCCAAATGCTCTGAGCACACTACTCCTGCATGCAGAAGTAGAGAGGGATTTTCTTTATGTGATCTGCCCTCAGAACGATGAAAATGAGTGAGTCATCCTCATGTGAAAACCCATGTACTATTCTTGAAAACACGTTGTACTACTCAGATGGATTTCCCTTTGCTAGTATTAGCTTTACCCATTGAAAGAAATCACCAACGTCCTGAGAATAATTAAGGTATTTTCCATTAGAAACACTGAGTGAATCAACTCCTTGAATACCAAATGTGTGATTTCTTACTGGAATATTTATGACTATATTATTGGTTCTGGTATATAAAGAGAGAATGTTTATATTTCTACAGTGAATGTCAAGAGATAGAGAAAAAAGGCTCCCGGACTGTTCATTCTGTCAATGTCTTCATCCCTTTTTACATTTCAAGATTTCAAGGACAAAAGCAAACCTCCTGTTCTACGATCCTGCCCTGTTGTTCCGGGAAAAATGACTTAAATGCAAGACCTAAAACTGTGGTCATGGCAACATTTCATTTCTGTGTTAAACAGTGAATTTCCAGATCTCAAATGTGTTGATATT